AATATGTTCTAGTAATCAATGCAAAACCAGAGATTAATTCTTCAGGTTCATTTTATTAGCAATGAGGAATATAAAACTCTTAGGAAAATATTCTTAACATTTCAATATACAAGAATTGTCTATAAAAATATACTACTACATAACAAAGCCAGTAACTTCTACAAAACGTATCATTCAACATATATTTAACAATATATAGGACATAGTAAAAATCCTTTAATAAATGCTGAGGGTGTTTTTACCCCCTTTTTGTCAAGCAATAACTCATATAACATCAGAAATTATTCATTCTGATACACAGAAGTGTTATCACCATAGAAGTCTATGTATGTTCCACCCTGAAGTTACCTGCATCTGCAGGAACATAAAGCCACAACTTTTCTTTGGATGGACAGGCAGTTAATGACCACAAAAACATTCTGCTGGTAACTGCAACATCCTGCTGAAGTCAGTGTTGCACATCTGCTGTCAGCATTACCAACCCTGAATCCATGCAGGGACAGAGATCGTGCTTCTACTACCCTTGTGGGACTGATGCCACAGATGAGCCTACCATGGTTAGAGAACTGGAAAACAGACTCTTCCTGGTTAACTACTGCTAGTTAGCAAGGAAATAACTTTTTTAAGAGGCTGCCTCTCTAGAAATAAGCTTTCTTCCAACAGACAGTTCTTGAACAACAGCTCAAGGAAGAGACGCTACTGCAGGGGGGGAAGTGTTTATACTAAATGATGATCAAGGGTAGTACTATCCATCTTGTCATTATCAATTACAGGAAGAGCCATCTTAGAACAGTTTTTGGAATTGGGAAAGAACCTAGTTTCAGAAGAAAAATGGCACATTGAACTAGTTATTTCACCAATGCTGTTATGCTGAAGTTACTTCGTGCCTGGTGTTAGACAAATGCGGGAAATATATTTTAATTATGTAGACTGCCCTTGCCTACACAACAAGCTTGTCAAATTCTTAGGGTAGATGTATTTAGAGAGCTTTTGGAGCATACTCTGACAACCAACTTAACCTGAAAGGAATTGGCTGCTGCACAGTGACAGTACGTAGCTTTTTCAGCCATCAGCTTTCTCTAGAAGGGTCAGGTACATAAGGCTTTAAGGCTATAAAGTCCCACTGAAGACAACAGATGATTATGGTGTTTTGCATAGTAAAGAACATAAGAAACATGCTTGTGATGCATCAGTAACAACCAAATCTTTTTACCCTGTGTTTATGTGCAAAATAACCAATAATTAATTATTACTCTTTCTATTCAGGATCCAGTGAAACCAGTACATTGAATTAATATGTTGAAATTCAAGAGAAACTTAACTCTATAGCATAGCAATTGCAATCCAACAACATTCCATCATATTACAAAGGAAGGACTTCCTATTAGAAAAGTACATTTATCAAACTTAAAAATACAGGTGATTAACATTAATAATATATTTCTGACTCAAAGCTCAGAAAAATAACATTTGACCCTGAGAAACTTGCTGTATTAAAACTTAAAAAGCTAAAAAAGATTTTGAAAGTAAAAATCTATCCAGGAAAAGAGGAAAAAAAAAAAAAAGGAAAAATCAGAATCTGAAAGAATCAAGGCTCAGCCAGTTTCATTCTGATCCTCAAACTGTTAAGCTCCGGAAGAAAAAAAAAAAAAGTTTGACCATCTTCACAGGAATTGTAAGAAATATTTTCAATTAAAAAAACCCCCAACATTTTCAAGTATCCATATTTTTGTATAATTTCATTCTTTTCAAGGCTTCCAACTAAAATTTAGGCTTTCAACCTACATTTGAGAGGAAGTAAAATTTTAAAATTGAGGTGGTTGAAAAAAACTTAAAGCTTAAATGTCTTCCATCCCCAAAATCATCTAGAAAAGCTAGTTACAGAAGCTAGCTTGTCATGCTTTATGACTAGAGAAGCCCTAGTCAAGTCCTTCATTCTCACACCAGTTAAACAATTCTCTAAAAGATGGATCAAAATCAAAATAATGTTCCAAAAAAAGACAATGTTCTCTAACATAGGATCTTGTTTAAATTATTATTTTAACAACTTAAGTATTTAGGAAGTTTTAGGAACAGCAAAAGGAAATAAGTAGATGGAGCCATAAGGAAACCCTATAGGTTTGGACAAAGAAAAAAAAAGTCATCTGGGGTTTTTGGCACTACAGGTATGGAAATATATCAAAAGAGTTTCTGCAAGAACTTGAGAGAAAAATTACCAATCTCTCTATCAGGTTGTTGATTTCAGGTCAGCTTTGTTAAGGGCAAGGAAGCAGTCCTTTCTTCAGTAGTCTGCTCTTCTCTATTAAGTGTAAACAAGATTCATTGAAATCACATGACCTAAAGATTTTTTTGATATAAACTTCCACATCATTTTTATTCTGTACTGACAAAGCAGCATTCATACTCTGTAATTTAAACTATTATCTAATTCCCCTTCCTAATGTTTTCACACTGTCACCAAGTTCAGGCTACTCTGGTTTTGCCCTCTCCAGCAACCTTCTAAAAAGTTATGTAGCTGGATCAGCTCCCAGCTCACTACACAACCACATAAGCCTGAGCACGGAGCCAACGGGAGGGAGCAGGACCAGCTGACAACCCAAGTTGACATCAATATGAACTGCTTTGGAACTACACCTTAATAACTGTCAATTCAAACACATGCATATTAAACATGAAGTGAAGCCATAAAAAATGCAGTCTGTTTTCCTTCCCTCCCCTGAAACCTGTTGCTCAATGGCAGTGATGGCTGAGCAGCAGAAGAAATAATCCTAGTTTACAATTTCAAGTACTAAGTGAAACGGGTGCCAAACTGGAATTTTGTTACTACATCAGGCTTTAAAGAGATGCAAAAGCAGCTCATACTTACTCCTGACCTTGTCAGCAGTAGCTGAACTTTAGCCTTCAGAAGAAGCAGAGAATGGACAGCTATAAGCAGGAACTGATTCTATCACTCAAGTGGAGTCTGCTCATGTCCATAAACATATACGGATTCAGTGTGCTGGTCTACATACAGAATCTTGCACAAAGATGGCTCCTCACACCCAGATACATCCCAAAGTACTATACACATTCCAGTCCTTCGGGACTCAGGTCCCTAGATCTGTCCTGCTGGGATGCAATGCTTATTGGCAAAAGAAAAGATATGTGACTGGAGTAAATCAAAATAAGGAAACACCTGCCACCTTTAGTGATTTTGAAAAAAAAAAATGTATCAAGTCTACAGAACACAGCATTCTCCTTCAGAAAAAACACTAGAGTGAGTAAATAACTGAAAACCACCTGATGATGCAAAGGACCAAATAAAGACCGAAGTTAAAATTTTCTTTAAGCACTACTGAGACAAGACTCAAAAGTACCTAAGATTCCATTTGGGAAAATCCCTCTACCTGATATTAAACATATATTCCTCCTCAAACATGAAGGACACAAAGATCAATAACACAAGCCTGTTTTCTTAGTATTTGTTGCTATCAAGATAAAGCCTACAAAAGTGAGAAGATGTGTAAGAGAAGTGACTAAGTGCAGATTCAAAAGGGCCAGCTGGAGAAATGGGGCTGTAGCTGCCCACTAGCTCTGTCTGATGTAGTGCGGATGCCTCCATGGCATGAGATGTGTATGCATAGCTCCACCCTCCCATCAAGCTCTCCTCAAACCTGTTCTGTACAATCTCTGCTATGATCTTGGCCAACCTGCATTTTCTCTGTAACTGTAATTACTCTGCACTCTTGTAAATTCTTAGGATATAGGCAAATGCTTTATTGTAAATCCTCCTAACTTTATGAGGGCCAAGAAGACTTAAACTTGGTCTCACAAAGAACTTTTGTACAAAAGAATCTAAACAAAAGGGTCATAAGCAGCATTTAAAATAACCTATGTTAAATATCTAAAAAATATAATTTTTTGCATAGAATAAAGAAAACTGCAGCTACAGAATAACATTCCATACCACAAGAAATAGCTAATTTACAAGTGGTATACAATCAACTGTTGTCTTGCATCACCGAGACTGCAGCAACTAAAGACACATTTATTGGGAAAATCACATTAAAAAAAGGGATTAGGTTGTTTCATTATGCCTGTAAAGCAAGTGCAAACATTTAAAATTTGTTTTAAAAGAAAGCAAAGCTGATAGATAATTTTCACAAGTTAATTTTCCCTGGATATTGCTTGGAAAGATGAAATAGCCTTTGTTCTTTTAGAATCCAAATTAAAAATAAATCCCCATTTGGCATCTGTTTTGTGGAAAAAAAAATAGAAAGCTTGTAAATATGCAAGCTTCATCTGTTCTATAAAAGTTGGATGTCTATAGGATTATAACTCTTTGTTCCCTTCTAACTTTTGTACTGCAGTCCCTCTGGTAATCAAGCACAGAATAGTATTAAGTAAGCCTGGGAGACTGATTTGCACTGCTCAGAAGAATAGAGAAAGGGTCTAAGAAGTGGAGAATCAGGTATTGTAGGAAAATAATAACCAAAAAACTATTGTCCACTTTTGACAGGAAGCAAACAACTTTTAAATATCTTTCTACTTCTCATATTTGCATGCCTAAATATAAGAAAAGCATATATCTAATCAGTTGTAAAAACATCTTCAATTTGGCTTTTTTTTTTTAAATCAACATTTTATTGGATATAACTTGGTAAATGAGATATTTAAAATAAATAAAAATAAATATTGTATATATATTTCAAGATTGCTTGTTTCTGTAATGAGTTAAGTGTCTGTATTGTTATATTTCATTTTGTTTAGCTTTTTTCAAGCTTTGTCGCCACTTACGAATGGCAGTTCCACAACTACTAGCTACTACACAAAGGGCACCTCCCACAGTCCACCAAGTTGGTAGATGATTGAGAAAAAGAATTTGTAAAATAAAAGCAAACACCACATCCATTGTTTTCATTATGGCTACAGGTCCAGCTTTCTCTATCTGTAATGCTTTTGTGAGAAATATCTGACCCCCTAACCCTAGCAAGCCTATTAATATTAGAAGAACCCTATCTTTACCACAGTATGGTAAACGCCATTCATTCATAACAAACAATGCTATAACACATCCAATTAAACCAATGACTGCATAATACCAAATTGACAAAAAATAATGCACAGATTTTCCCACCTTCCTTAGTATAACAAAAGTCAAAGCTGCAGATACTGTGCTTGTGATCGCTGCTATAGTTCCTTTAAGGTGATCTGTATAACTTCCTTCAATCCCCGTAACGTTTGACCCAAACAGAAATGGTGGTCTGGCAATAAGAACTACTCCAGTGATTGCGAAGAGGGTAAACAGAAGATCCCAAATACTGTATTTCTCTTTGAGAAAGATCCATGCCAGCAATGATGTAAAAACAGGACTGCTAAAAGTTATAACAGTGGCATCAGCTAGTGGCATGACTTGGAAAGCATAGTAGAGAAGAATCATTGCGCTAGAGCCAAGGAATCCTCGGAAGAAAAGAAAAATTCTTTTACCTTTTGGTCCCAAAAACCCTGTTCTGAAAAACAGAAATGTCACATTAATGTCACTGGCTTGCTTGTTTCATGACCAACATCCAATCACATTTAAATGTACACACCCTTCTAGATTGTACACACTTCTCTAGATGAGGGATTTATCTCGAATATCAAAATATTTTTAACTGTCTGATCACAGACCAATTTACTCCCATCACCACACGCAATCACATTCAGAGTCCAGAACCTGTTCTTCTAGCTATTAATTTTTTGCTTGCAAAAACAACCCAAGAGTATCTACAAATTACCTTCTATTTTTTAAGAACACCACTTCATGGAAGATCACTACATTTGATATAATCCCTGCAGAAACCTCTACAATTCAGGGAGTCAAAGATTTTGTTTTCTGAATTGTATTAAGAAACCATCAACTAATCCAAAACAATGCAGTTACACAACTGAAGTCTGAATTAAAGTAATATTACAATCTGATTTAAGTGAGTGATAATTCTAGATCTATTTTTAAGAAGTAACTTTAAACATCTGCCACACTTACTTGTAATATATTAAACCAGGAAGAACAAATGCCATTTGGAAAACACATCGAAAGGCACTCACTTCCACTGAATGTACATCTTCTATTTTTTTAAGAAATAAAGAGGCCACTGAGAAAAGGAAGGCAGACAGTACGGTATAAAACAGACCAAGTCCTGGACACGCAGCTTTTTTCTTTGTTCCTGCAACAGATAAACTTCAGTTAATAATAATCTATTAGAAGATTTCTCAGGTCAGGCGGCTGTACATACTGCAGTGCTCCACACATTTGTAGCTACTCTTGTGGTAGAGGACACGGGAAGCAAAAGAAACAAATGCAAATACTACATGTATTTACCAGACCTACCTTGAAAATATGTTTCACTGACCACCACGGGTCTCCTTTTTTTCTTAAAACAGGAGTTAAGAGATGAACTCTAACACTTCGGATACAGAACTTCTCACAGTTCTACATGAGTTAGTAGGCTTTACTTCTTGGAGGCATCAGACTAGTTTGAGTGATTCACTATAGGACTAGTCGCATGATTATGACCACTGCCCAAGGACCAGTAAATACCCATGACTGCAAAATGGTCCATGGTCAGATTCTGAAACACTGAAACTCATTACCTTGGGAATCATCTGATTATTGAGTCAGTTAATTAAGGTTCATAAGCAACAATTCAATTTCCTTTCTCGCAAACACACATATGTAAAAATTGTGTGCAGAACCTCACTTTTGTTATACCTCATGTTCATTTTGCAGCTAAATCACTCCAAATTTGACCCAGACCTACAGAAGTTTTATATAACATTTTTATCTTGCTCCAAGAATCCAACTATTTTCCTCAAATAAACATCAAATACACATTTTTAAGCAGGAGAAATTTAGGTGACTAGTTTTAAAACATCATAGGCCTGCTTAAGGTACTGGTATCTATCACAGTTCCACGAAGACCTTCATTTCACCTTAGTTTATGCTTATTTATCAGACCTTCTCTTCCTGAAGTAGCTTCCCAAGTCTAATGGTTTCTATTAAAAAAAAAAAAAAGAAAGCAAACAGAGAGGGTGAACTGCTGCTGACCTCAACACCGTCTCCAAAGAAACCAGCCTTTTTTGTTATTGCTTTGCTGCATAAGAGGAACAGTCTTTCCACTGAACCTAGAGGTGAACACCATGGAAGAGAGAACCCATCTAAAAATTTGAGTGGGATGTTACTTCACTACCTCTTTTCTTTCTGTCTGCATAAAACACTGGGAGTTACCCTTTCTTCTACAACACCCTCTAAAGATAAGAGCAAGAACTCCATGTCCCTGAGGCAGTGTTTTGACAAAAGGGTGCCTCGTCTCAGTTAGTGTGGGAGCCCGTGAGCCTCCTGGATCCTCTAAAACATTATCAGCAGGGCACTGCTCTAAGTCGCTTAGCAATGAAGTATAGTTTTGAGGTGGTTTTTTTTTTGTTTTGCTTCGGGTGTGGTTTTTTGGGGGGTTTTTTGTGTTTTTTTTAATTAACAAAACTTGTCACAACCATTTTGATCCTCCTTGAGATCAGGCTGAGAAACTGCATCTTACTACCTGAGAGCTGAGACTGTGGGCTGATACAGTGTGTACAGAGCACTGGTTCTGGCTTTAACAGTTCTAGGGGCCCAGGCTTTACACCTGCAACCAGAATTTGAAGTAGGCAGAAGGCCTGCTTTTCAAGGAGTCCAGCCACACTACAGCTAAAAATGGATGACAGTTTCTACTAGAAATATTTCTATTTAGCAACAGCCAATTACATAAAAGTGACTACAAAAACAACCAACACTGGACCAGGACATCTACCAACTATGAAACAGAGTGGATTTAAAGAACGCTCATGAATTACATAACATCCTAATCCACAGTCATGCAACAGAACTACAAAATCAACATCTCTAATATTATAGCAAGAGGAATCAGACTGGCCTATAACTGAAATGGGAAATCCAAACCCAGGCTGGCTTATGGATGAATGCAGCACAAACAGAACTATTAACTTTTATTTCAGGCACGATAGCTTGTCTGATTACTACAGAACGAAGCCAATCTAAACAATGGAAGTGATGAAATGGAAAAACCAATCAAATTAAAGCAAAGTAAGCTGAAAGGCTCTTATACCCAGAACTAAGCTTTGGATTTGAAGGAACAAAGAAAAAATCAGAAAGAACTCATTTTTGTAAGCTACCCAACATGCCAAGTCTATCAGAAACAGTATCTTGTAATACTAGAATTTAAACCATCAACATTTCATATTGCCAAAGCATGTACTCAGTGCAATGAGAAAGTGGTTTATTTCCTTTAAAAATAAAATGGTACAAGTTCTTCCACCAGAAACAAGAATTGCAGTTCTGAAGTGTACTTATTCCAAAACACATTGTAAGGAGAAGTTAGGTTAAGATAACATTCCCACCCCACAAAATATTAAGCCTCCAAACACTAGCCCAACACCATCAAAATTCTCAAGCTCTCATGCTTTTTTAAAAAGCGGTGTAGCAGTCTGAAAATAAAAAAGTTTCAAGTAGTACCCACGTCCTCTTTATGAGTGGCTACAGATTTGAGATTTGGTTTTCCAATTTTATTCCCTGGCCATCTCCACACGTAAGGCTTTCAAACAATCTTCCACTCCTGTTTTAAGTCCTAGTCAAATGCCTTCCATTGCATGCCATTTTCTGGGTAAATTCTTTTTGTTTGCGTTTTAATGCCATGCTTTCTTGCAAACAGTTTTTATACTTGCAAAATGTATACAGTGAAGAAAATCACGCTTCTCACATACATGCATCTTGAGAACAGTAGCAGAGGCAGAAGGGTACTGGCTATAGGGAAGGTGGTCAGCGAGAAGATGACTCTCCCAGACCTTCAGGAGAGCCAGAAGAGGGTGATCCGTTCTTCACACCGTAAGAAGCAGAACAGCTCTTTCACAGACTTCAGGAAAGTGACAGGAGCACAACAGCCTGCGTATGAACTAATCACGGTCATGCAGACAAGATCTAGGCATGATTCATAAAGTTCAGCCGTTGACTCAATTAACATTTTGCTAGAGAGACTGGAAAAACAAAAACCAAACAAAAACCCAACCTAAAATGTATTTTTTGGTTAATAAATGCAAGTTTCTCAGGATTTCAAATAGGTTTTTTTTCCCCCCAAGCTTTGCCTCAGAAGTGATACTAATGTGAATTTCACTTTAGTTATGCTATCTCTTCCAGCCTCTCCACAGCTCACCAGCTAACAAAGATTGCCATTTTATCCATTTTCTGCTGGAAGGTCAACTATAGTCCATATTTAATGAGGAACACACTTCCAGTGAAGTTGTTTAAAAATTACGCATGCTTAAGTACTTCAGATAACAACTTCAAAAATTATTTTAAGATGACATTTATGTTTTAAAAGGAAGCCACATTAAACTTACAAAAACATGTTGCGTACTCCACTGTAAGTCTGTGGCTTTAACAATTCAAAGTGACCAAGGAGCGAAGCACGGATTAAGACAAAACCAGGAGCACGCTCACGTTAAAGCGAGGTAAGAATTGCCAAGGAAGTCATAGCTGCAAGTACACGGACTTGTTGAACAGCGCTCATGCCCCTTCTCCACACGTTTACGGTGCCAGAAATTCACGCTGCTAGAAGGCACCTCGATTTACCCAAACCAGGCAAGCCTTACTTTAAAACTTTGGCAAGAGGAAGTACTCTTTTCCCGAGGGATAATCCCTACGGCAGCTCTCGCAGCCCTACGTGTCGGAGAGACCGAGCAGCAGCCCGCCCCTGGGGACGGGAGCGAGCGGTGCGCGGCCGCGGCGGCCCCCAGCGCTCTGCCCGCCCCCGGGGCGGGGGGGGGGCGCACCGGGCGCCGGGCCCGAGCCGAGCCCGGCGTACAAGCACAAGGGCCAGCGCCACGGAGGGGGTCGTGCCTGCCGCCTCGCTTACTTCTTCACCAGGGTCCGGCCAAGCCCGGTAAAGAGCGGGGGGGAAGAGGGCGAGGCCGAACGCGCTCGCAGGGAGCCCGGTGTCCCCCGCCGGGCAGCAGGTGGGAGCCGCCGCGGCCGGGGACGGCTCGGAGGCGGCGGGGCTCCAGCCTG